AACATGGTGATATATAGTGTTGTAGGGAGATACTGTAACATGGTGATATATAGTGTTGTAGGGAGATACTGTAACATGGTGATATATACAGTGTTGTAGAGAGATACTGTAACATGGTGATATACAGTGTTGTAGGAGATACTGTAACATGGTGATATATACAGTGTTGTAGGGAGATACTGTAACATGGTGATATACAGTGTTGTAGGGAGATACTGTAACATGGTGATATATAGTGTTGTAGGGAGATACTGTAACATGGTGATATACAGTGTTGTAGGGAGATACTGTAACATGGTGATATACAGTGTTGTAGGGAGATACTGTAACATGGTGATATACAGTGTTGTAGGGAGATACTGTAACATGGTGATATATAGTGTTGTAGGGAGATACTGTAACATGGTGATATACAGTGTTGTAGGGAGATACTGTAACATGGTGTGAGATACTGTAACATGGTGATATATAGTGTTGTAGGGAGATACTGTAACATGGTGATATATAGTGTTGTAGGGAGATACTGTAACATGGTGATATATAGTGTTGTAGGGAGATACTGTAACATGGTGATATATAGTGTTGTAGGGAGATACTGTAACATGGTGATATATAGTGTTGTAGGGAGATTGTTGCATCTGAAGCCTTTAAGCTGATGACGATTTTTCGCGAGCTTCAGTCGATTGGACTTTTTCATTTGGCAAAAGTACACTGTAGATGTAGTACATATTGTTTGCTTCTTCCGTGTTGGTCTTGAGCTAAACTATGGTTGTGATCTTTTACTGAACTTTACTGGGCCTGGACGGATGTCGAGATTACTTCTGGTTAGAGTGAGTGAGTGAGTATGGTTTTACGCCGCTTTTAGCAACCTTCCATCAATATCACGGCGGTGGACACCAAAATGGGCTTCACACGTTGCACCCATGTGGGGAATCGAACCCGGGTCTTCAGCGTGTCGAGCGGACGCTTTAACCATTAGGCTACACCACCGCCCCACTCTGGTTAGATCCTATTTGTATTAGTGCAGAGAGGATTTCGAATATATTTCCAGTTTTGATCGTTTACAGATTTTTAGTTTTGATCGTTTACTGATTTGTGCTGTGCAGCGCGAATATCAAGTTTAAATCTTTCGTAGATCAACAAGTAATGCAAATATTTTGTCAATCTGTCTTGCTGCTGTACAAATATCACAGGCCAACAAACTGCGGATCTACCCATCTCTTTCGGCACTGAAAGTGTTTTTAGTGCCAGGGGGGATTTAGAGGGGTCTGCGGGGGATCTGTCTTGGCCTCGAGTAAATGAATCAATTATCACTGATGGGTAAATTTTGAATGAATTATACTCATGGAAGCGAATAAGGGAACACCTGAAAGTAAAAGTGTTCCTTTATTCTTCTCCAGGTTTCTTCACAAGGTTTGTATTGCACTGTGGGTGAAACTCTAAATGAACACTTGTACTTTCAGGTGTTCCGTATTCGTTTCCATGAGTATATTTAGGGCTCCTTGCCTCTAGGCAGGAAGCCTATTGTAATCGTTCGGATTATTAGGGCTCCTTTGCCTTTAGGCAGGAGACCTATTGTAATCGTTAATGTTTTTATTATTATTATTTATTATTCCGCCGGATTTTGTACCAGAGCTACAGAGAGCACCGCTGGACAGATTCGCTTGAAAAAATTCACCCAGATGCCCACCAAGGTGTAGATATTCCCCATTAAAATCTCTAGGCTGTAGGCCCAATAGCAAAGGGCAGATAATTCAAAATTAATTCAAAAATTTCAAATGCAAATGCAAATATCTCCAAAACTAATGCTCCAATGTTTGCCAAAGTTCTGGAGCAGATGCGCAATCAAAATGCCTACAATTTCGCCTGGACGGCTCAAGTCGCTAAAATGCACCGTTTGGACGCTATGTTGGATTGAAGTTTTTGGTGATGTTTTTCAGCAAAATCTCCTGACTGCATACCTCCCAAAATGTGCGGCACTAAAACTACAAGGGCTACGGCTTTCAAACGTTGCATACTTTGTGTCTATGCATGTTTCTACACAGTAGCATCGTCAAATGTGCCTGTGTTTATATGATGGCCGCCATATTGGACGCTACTTTTGGGCAAAAGTTGTCTTCAAAAACTTTCACGGGCTTCTTTGCCATTGTGTGCCAAACTAAACTTAGCACATACAACAGTTTAAACGCTTGTTCTGAAGTGGCCTTTGGTTGTTGAACATTTTCTGTTCTTGGTCCTATGTCAAAGTCACGTGATGCGGCGGCCATATTGGATTGAAGATGTTTCTCGGAAATGTGCAGAGTTTGTTGGGTAGGCATTTTTCGCAAGCCATAACTCTGAATGTATGAACTGCAGAACGCTGTAAATGTGCAGATATACAACATATACCTCAAATATTAATGCCCATAAGCTATGTTGCGATATCTTGATTAGCTACGGATATCTAGATGTTTGCTTCTGTTGTTTATTTTGTACTAAAATGTATTTTCAAAAAATCGCAGCATCATTACTTTCGCAACTATGCAGCTAGAATCTGGCAGTGCGTAGTAACTAAGTGTGTTGAACATTTTTTGTTCTTGGGTGCATGTCAAAATGTGTATTGCTTGGCGGCCATATTGGATTTCGTCAGATTCTGATGATACTACATTCTAAACAGCATAGCTGCTCAAGTTCTGCACAGAAGGCAGTAAAACTTGGCAGGTATGCATCAACAGAAGATGCTTAACGTTTCGTGTTCTTACATGCATATCAAAATTTGATCGTTTGTCGGCCATATGGCATTGGAAATTGCACAACTGCAGGGAAAAGGGAAAAAAACTGTTTGAGACGTGCCCCAAATGAAAGAAAAAGAGTACCAAACAAACTCACCCACAACTCCAGGCTGAACACGCTAAATATGACGCAAACAGACTTTCAGCTACGTACCAGTCATCATAAATAATGCTTACATTCAAAAACCCAAAGTTTGGGCAAATTTAACGAAATAGGGACTTCTTTATATCACACCGACGGCCCAGGGATACATTGCCGAATGTATCATAAGTTTCATCGACATTTACAGCACGAGCACGGCAGATTACCCGTGCAAAGCATGCGACAGTCTGAAGGAAGGCGCAAGGACGATATCTCCTATAGAGAGACTACCACTGCAAAGCGTGGTCCACGTGCAGATATGGGAGATGATGTCGATTTCAGTTGACAATGACGCGAGCTAGCGCTACACAAAATTAAACTACACTGCGGTGGAGGTCTTTAGGCAGTTTTAAAGATTGTCAGTGATTGAACGTTCCGGGTCAGGGTAAAAGTTCTAGCTGTGGTCTAAGGGGGGTAACTCTGGTCTAGCTGAAGTAAGCGCTAGTAAAATCGGCTCCTGAAGTATTTCTCATTACTGACAATGATACGATCCATATCAGCTATAACCTTTACTGCTTTCGACATCAGGTACCAAATGTTTAGAAATGATCCAAGCCAAGGAGCCGTCAATTGTTGCTCGCAACTTTAATTATTATTATTATTATTATTATTTATTATTCCGCCGATTTATGTACCAAACATAACTCCTAAACCAATGCTCCGAATCACTTACAAAAAATAACACAGATGCACACTGAGGTGTAGATATTCCCCTTAAAAATCTCTAGGCTCTTGGCCCAATAGCAAAGGGGCGATAATTCAAAATTAATTCCAAAATTTCAACGTTTGACAGCAAATATCTCAAGAACTAATAGTTCCAACACTTCCAAATTTCTTGTACAGATGCACAATCGAATACCCAACAATTTTGCCTGGACGGGTCAAGTCGCTAAAACCCCAGGCCCCAACTGCGGGTTAGAAAATCGATAAACTAGGCCCCGGTTTAGTATCAACACCCCCTACTATACAATACATAAAGGTTCATCACAGAAATACGGTGACATGATCGAAAACCGGACAATTACGCACACGTCAATGACTATATCGTATTTTAAAGGCCTCACAAGTATCAAAAGCTTTTGTCCATATCTCCGATGTATGTAGGAGGCATATACATGCGCTTTCCGTGGGGATGCATTTGATGGGTTATATTAAATCGCCAAAGATTTAATGTCACTATCTGATGTTTTATCTTGGTAAGAATAATTTTAAAAAACGAGTACAAATTTTCTTTAAAGAAACACATTCATTCAGTGTAATGTGTTAGCCAATCAGATCGCCGGAGGTAGTGAAGTCAAGCGCTGACGAGCTAGTTTTGTAGATACTTCCGGCACAGCAACTCGGTCTTTGGCGATTTAATAAAACCCATCAAATGCATCCCCACGGAAAGCGCATGTATATGCCTCCTACATACATCGGAGATATGGACAAAAGCTTTTGATACTTGTGAGGCCTTTAAAATACGATATAGTCATTGACGTGTGCGTAATTGTCCGGTTTTCGATCATGTCACCGTATTTCTGTGATGAACCTTTATGTATTATATAGTAGGGGGTGTTGATACTAACCCGGAGCCTAGTTTATCGATTTTCTGACCCGCAGTTGGGGCCTGTATTAAAACGTACCGTTTGGCAGTTATTTTTGTTTTCAGTTTTTCTGGGAAGTTTGCTCCCAAAATGTGCAGATTCTGCACAAAAAGTGCCAGTGTGGTAGATGATGTCCTGGCGATTCCAGAACGCTAATTGTTTTGACCCAAGAACAACTAAGATACAGCCTTTTAAAGAGGGAACTATTTCTTCTCCGGAACTACTTAAAAGATACATGACCCCCGTGACCCCGGCTGTATTTGGAAGATCCGCTCGCCTGTCAAAACATGTGTTCTGGCTCCGTTTTGGACGATGATATCTGGCCCTCAGATACAATAGATGGAAAGTAAAGCCAAGGAGACCTCATCGTTGCCCGCAACTATATTTTGCGTTTGTGTTTGTCTGGATTGGTACCAAATGTCAGCCGTTTATCGCAGATATACCAGGACAGTCAAAGACATTGCGCATCGACACTTCCAAAACCTGTATCTGCTTACTTACCTGTATATAAGCGGTTACTTCTGGTGCAGGTGTACGGTTGCTGGCGGTCTACACGGGTGCTGGTGTACTGATGTGTACGACAGTGTCCCTCGGGTCAGACTGACAGTCTCTCTGACGTTCCCGTTATTAAGTACCCATATCAGGACCCTATCTGTCAGTCCCCTCCCACCCATATCAAATATCACCCCATGCCCCCTCCCCACGCCGTATCTGGAACCACCCTCTCAAACTGATACCTGTCGTCCCAGGGCGTCCTCGTTTTCCACACAGTTCTGATACAGGCTGACACGATGGTTTGAATAATATATACCAAATGTCATCGACATCGATGGTTTTAATAATATATACCCAGTGTCATTGACATCGATGGTTTGAATAATATATACCAAGTGTCATCGACATTGATGGTTTGAATAATATATACCAAATGCGTCATCGACATCGATGGTTTGAATAATATATACCAAGTGTCATTGACATCGATGGCTTGAATAATATATACCAAATGTCATTGACATCGATGGTTTGAATAATATATACCAAGTGTCATCGACATCGATGGTTTGAATAATATATACCAAGTGTCATCGACATCGATGGTTTGAATAATATATACCCAGTGTCATCGACATCGATGGTTTGAATAATATATACCCAGTGTCATCGACATCGATGGCTTGAATAATATATACCAAATGTCATTGACATCGATGGTTTGAATAATATATACCCAGTGTCATCGACGTCGATGGCTTGAATAATATATGCCAAATGTCATCGACATCGATGGCTTGAATAATATATACCCAGTGTCATCGACATCGATGGCTTGAATAATATATACCAAATGTCATCGACATCGATGGTTTGAATAATATATACCAAATGTCATCGACATCGATGGCTTGAATAATATATACCCAGTGTCATTGACATCGATGGCTTGAATAATATATACCCAGTGTCATCGACATCGATGGCTTGAATAATATATACCAAATGTCATCGACATCGATGGTTTGAATAATATATACCCAGTGTCATCGACATTGATGGCTTGAATAATATATACCCAAATGTCATCGACATCGATGGTTTGAATAATATATACCAAATGTCATCGACATCGATGGTTTGAATAATATATACCAAATGTCATCGACATCGATGGCTTGAATAATATATACCCAGTGTCATTGACATCGATGGTTTGAATAATATATACCAAATGTCGCCGACATCGATGAATTTGAATAATATATACCAAATGTCGCCGACATCGATGGTTTGATATAATATACCAAATGTCATCGACATCGATGGCTTGAATAATATATACCCAATGTCATTGACATCGATGGTTTGAATAATATATACCCAGTGTCATCGACATCGATGCTTTAAATAAAATAATACACCCAATGCCATTGAATAATAATATACCAAATGTCATCGACATCGATGGTTTGAATAATATATACCCAGTGTCATCGACATCGATGGTTTGAATAATATATACCCTGTGTCATCGACATCGATGGTTTGAATAATATATACCCAGTGTCATCGACATCGATGGTTTGAATAATATATACCCAGTGTCATTGACATCGATGGTTTGAATAATATATACCCAAATGTCATCGACATCGATGGTTTGAATAATATATACCAAATGTCATCGACATCGATGGCTTGAATAATATATACCAAGTGTCATCGACATCGATGGCTTGAATAATATATACCAAATGTCATCGACATCGATGGCTTGAATAATATATACCCAGTGTCATCGACATCGATGGCTTGAATAATATATACCCAGTGTCATTGACATCGATGGCTTGAATAATATATACCCAGTGTCATTGACATCGATGGCTTGAATAATATACACCCAATGTCATTGACATCGATGACTTGAATAATATATACAAAATGTCATCGATATCGATGGCTTGAATAGATATAACCAATGCCATCGATGGCTTGAATAATATATACCCAGTGTCATTGACATCGATGGCTTTAACAAAATACACCCAATGCCATTGACATCTACGACTTGAATAATACATACAAAATGTCATTGATATCGATGGAGTGAATAAGACATAACCAATGCCACTGACATCGATGGATTGAATAATATATACCCAGTGTCATTGACATCGATGGCTTTAACAAAATACACCCAATGCCATTGACATCTACGACTTGAATAATACATACCAAATGTCATTGATATCGATGGAGTGAATAAGACATAACCAATGCCACTGACATCGATGGATTGAATAATATATACCCAGTGTCATTGACATCGATGGCGTGAATAATATACACCGAATTTAATTGACATCGTTGGCTTGAATAATATATACCAAATGTCTTTGACAGTATCACACCATCAATAATATCACTACCATCTAAGACATCAATGTCATCTCTGATTTGCGTTTGTCCGTTCACAGGTTTTGCCCTTTACATCAAATGGAATCTGTGTGTGAGAAGACTGGGTATTCTGATGCGCTAATTGTAATATTTACTTGTGCTGGGTCGATGTTTCTGCTGGTGGACAGAAGTGTCAAGCTTGACCATCCCCTCAGCAGCACGTATCAGAGTAAACTACGAGATCCTGGAACTGGCCCTCTGTGTCGTAAGCCCCAGCAGCATGTATCAGAGTAAACTACGAGATCCTGGAACTGGCCCTCTGTGTCGTAAGCCCCAGCAGCATGTATCAGAGTAAACTACGAGATCCTGGAACTGGCCCTCTGTGTCGTAAGCCCCAGCAGCATGTATCAGAGTAAACTACGAGATCCTGGAACTGGCCCTCTGTGTCGTAAGCCCCAGCAGCATGTATCAGAGTAAACTACGAGATCCTGGAACTGGCCCTCTGTGTCGTAAGCCCCAGCAGCATGTATCAGAGTAAACTACGAGATCCTGGAACTGGCCCTCTGTGTCGTAAGCCCCAGCAGCATGTATCAGAGTAAACTACGAGATCCTGGAACTGGCCCTCTGTGTCGTAAGCCCCAGCAGCATGTATCAGAGTAAACTACGAGATCCTGGAACTGGCCCTCTGTGTCGTAAGCCCCAGCAGCACGTATCAGAGTAAACTACGAGATCCTGGAACTGGCCCTCTGTGTCGTAAGCCCCAGCAGCATGTATCAGAGTAAACTACGAGATCCTGGAACTGGCCCTCTGTGTCGTAAGCCCCAGCAGCACGTATCAGAGTAAACTACGAGATCCTGGAACTGGCCCTCTGTGTCGTAAGCCCCAGCAGCATGTATCAGAGTAAACTACGAGATCCTGGAACTGGCCCTCTGTGTCGTAAGCCCCAGCAGCATGTATCAGAGTAAACTACGAGATCCTGGAACTGGCCCTCTGTGTCGTAAGCCCCAGCAGCATGTATCAGAGTAAACTACGAGATCCTGGAACTGGCCCTCTGTGTCGTAAGCCCCAGCAGCATGTATCAGAGTAAACTACGAGATCCTGAACTGGCCCTCTGTGTCGTAAGCCCCAGCAGCACGTATCAGAGTAAACTACGAGATCCTGAACTGGCCCTCTGTGTCGTAAGCCCCAGCAGCACGTATCAGAGTAAACTACGAGATCCTGGAACTGGCCCTCTGTGTCGTAAGCCCCAGCAGCACGTATCAGAGTAAACTACGAGATCCTGGAACTGGCCCTCTGTGTCGTAAGCCCCAGCAGCATGTATCAGAGTAAACTACGAGATCCTGGAACTGGCCCTCTGTGTCGTAAGCCCCAGCATTTTCAGAAACGTTTTTCGTTGCTCGTAAGTACGGGAAGCTATGAAAGTCTACAGTGGTAATTGAAAACTGAAAGGTGAATTATTGGTTAAACGATCACTTGATTGATTGGTTTGTTTACAGGCTGTCCACGCCCGACTGACGTACTGAGGTGGGGTGTCGGTGGGGTGTCGGACTGTAGATGGGGTGTCGGACTGTAGGTGGGGTGTCGGACTGTAGGTGGGGTGTCGGACTGTAGGTGGGGTGTCGGACTGTAGGTGGGGTGTCGGACTGTAGATGGGGTGTTAACAGCAGGAGTCTACGGTGAAGCAGGACTCGCTTTCCCTTTCTCGAACACCCGGTGTCTTAACTGATTTTCCGTGGTCCGTCTATATATTGTTATTTTTTATGTCTAGTTTGCCCTTGCACCACATGGAATCTGTTTCTGAGTATAGATCTGATGTGGTATTGTTTTGCATTTGCACATTATATACATGGTTGGTGTAGCAACAAGAGTTGTAAGAGAGGGCTTCTATCGCCGGTAACACCAGCAGGTAATACAACTTCTAGTCGGCTCTGTAAACCTAATGTCTTGCTGTTAGGTTACACTCCTTGTTTTGTGCAACATGTTTACCGTTCGTCTATACTACAAGCCTTGTAAGGGGCAGTGGGGTAGCCTAGTGGTTAAAGCGTTGGCTCGTCACGCTGAGGACCCGGGTTCGAATCCCCACATGGGTACAATGTATGAAGCGTATTTCTGGTGTCCCCCGCCGTGATGTTGCTGGAATATTGTTTAAAGCGGCGTAAAACCAAATTCAGTCACTCAGACAAGCCTTGTAAACATCACCGTGGAGTTTTACCATTACAATTCATTGTTAGAGTAGATAGAGAAGTCGTTTTAATCAACCTGCACCCTGTGACTGTTTCTAGATAGTGACATGGCGTTATCTTAGGCAGCGGAAGCCCTGGAGTACCAGCGCTGGGAGAGATAATCACTCAGATAGTACCCTGTCACGCCACCCCAGTACTGCCACCATGTCCCCATGTACACACCCCCCCACCCCACCCCTCTCCGACCCGGGCGAAATAATGACTCACATAGCTCCACTATCACGCCCCTCAAACCGAAAACAATTCCGTGCACAGAAACATACAACCCTTATGAAAGCAAGTATATTACGATTGTGTTATAACCTATAAATTAAATCTTTTCTTCACATCAGCCCAGTGTAATAAACTTTATACCATATTAACCTTGTATTTAACCTATATATCACATCAACATTGTGTTATAACCTATATTTCACATAAACCTTGTATTTAACCTATATATCACATCAACATTGTGTTATAACCTATATTTCACATTAACCTGTTATAACCTAT